AGTAGTCCTGGTGGTGAAAATATAGATTTATGTAGTGAGGATCTCAATACATTAAGTCGTAGTATTCGTTCATTCTCTGTTCTAAGATTTAGTTGGATGTACTGTAAATTATAAAACTTTGGAACTGTAGGTCATGTTTTCCTAAACTCTGAATATGTTGGTCTTGATTCATTTTTTGTTTAAAATTGGGGTTTGACAACTGGTGACGCTACGAGACACAAAACGTTTTCAAGTTTCCTGTCATTTGAGATAAATTACCAGACTGATCAAGAATGAATTTCTCGGTGTAACGAAGAACAGCGCTTTAACACAGTAATTCAGCACTATAAGTACAGAAGCAAATTCAATATCTGTGGAGGCGGACACTTATTAACCTGGGCTCACTAATTAACAGTAAGTTCGTCGTAACGATTTGAGGTCTGTACCTTATGAATGACTGAGTTCAGCTCCAACCGTGTTGTTTCATTGGTTACCTTTTCTGGAAAGTGTACACTTGCCGGCGCTCCGATTCGTCAGTACCTTCCGGTCCTTTCGAGAACATTCTCAACGGTTCGCCTTGATTCGTCGTCAGAGACACACATGGCTACTGTTGTCAAGGTAAACAAAAACGTGCGTTTTTATTGGTCATGACTTTACCAGAGTTTTCTGGAACAGCGGATGGCGAGATAAAAGCCAGGCTGCGGCTACAGTACGTACAGTAGCAGAGTCAAGTACACTGGAGACCTGAAGTTGCGCCGGACAGGAGCTGATCAGGGAGCTTTAGTGGAGACGAACACAGACGGTAAGATACTGCGCAACATTAGAAACTTTATTCTAAACAATGATGCGTACGACTTGGGACTTTTCGGTGTCTAATTTAAATGGATTCATATTTGTATGGCAACGTAGTTGATAAAAGAAAATAGGAAAAGTGGTGATGTTTTAATTCTGCTGGTATTGGTGCCTTTGCTGAGAGTAACTTGTAAAACAAGAATGGCTTATCGTGTGTTGAATTGTACCTTGGCGAGTAACGTAATAGCACCCGACTAAAGCACGCAA